GAACCGCAGCGGGGCTCGCCCCCGGCGTGACTGACTGACAGACAGACAGCCCCCTGGGGTGACTGACAGACAGACAGCCCCGCGGCGTGACTGACTGACTGACAGCAGCCCCCCGGGGTGACTGAGAACAGCCCCGGTGCGAAGCGGGGGCCCTCGGTGTCGAGGGGCGCGGGGTTTGGGTTTCGGCGCGTTTCAGCGTCGCCGTTGTCTCGGTCCACTGAAGTTTTGTAGGAGGGTGCAGAGACTCTGCTGACGCCGAGAGAGTCCTCATTTTTCTGTGTTTTACTCCAGTCGCAGGGGACATGGGGGCATCTCGTCCAGGTGAATCGCGTGTGAGTGGCGTTTCGGCTGGCCGGGGGAAACTGGCTGACAAGCTGGCGCTGCCGTTGCTCGCGAGGCATTTAATCTCGTCCAGTTCGGTTGTAGTTGTGCTTTTTAGCGGCTGTCAAAGAACAGCGCTTGACTTTGTTCCCGAGGGAAGTTCCTCAGCATTTTTTTCTGTGGGAAGGCCACCCTGAGGCGTCACGGCTTGAACAGTCCTACACTGTTCACTCAACCGATCACGCATAGCGTCTCTGACAGCGTGGGTGGGCTGAACAAGGGCAAACTGGATTGGTTCTCGTTTCCTCAACTTTTTTTTTTTTTTAGGAATACATGGGTATTTGTAATGTCTTATGGTCTTGTATGAGATCCTACAGTTAGGGGACTGGAAATATGCTGTTCTCCCTTTGTTGAACCGGAGTATGTTTTGTCTTTATCGAAGCAAAACGAACTCTGTCTTTCCCTGGAAATCTTGTAGTATGGTGTTTTGGGTGGGTTTTGTTTTGTGGTTTTTTTTTTTTTTCAAAAGGAGTGCTGGCCATCTAGAAAGATGGCTTCAGGCCATCACTGTTCCTAGTGACAAATGGAAAACCTCAAGACTTATTGTTGTGAAGAATCTTTATCTGAAATCTTAAGAGGCAGGGAAGTCTTTTTACCTTCCCTGAAATTTTAATTTCCTGCTATAAAGGCACATACTGTTCTCTTCATAGTAGCGTGTTTTTAATTAAAAGATGTTTTCGTGTTTCAGGATGACTCACTTGTAGTGTGGAAGGAGGTGGACCTGACCCGACTGTCAGAAAAGGAGCGCCGTGATGGTTTGAACGAAACTGCATGGATAACACCACGCTGCTGATTGAGCTGGAGTACTGTAATGGTGAGATCCCTCCTCCCACTTACAAACAGGCTGCTGCCACATCACTGTGTCACCCTGCTGCAGAACTTGCAGGGAATATTCCTGGGGTGTCCTCTGGAGCGGAGGAGTGGAGGTGAATTCTGCTGTGTAGCTCCTGAGGAAGAGATTGAACCCTTCTGACTGATTTGTGTCTCAGGTGCCAAAGAAAGAAGCCCAGTAGTTAGTGCAGGCAGTTCAGGCAGCACATGGTTTCTTGAGTCTTCTGAGTAGCTGGTGCAGTGAAGAAGTGGGTTATTGGTAATCTACACTTCTAATGGGCCTTGCTGTGTCCTTTTAGTACGACAGTGGGAAAAGATCATGAGGATATTCGTGCCTCTCTGCTAGTACAGAGTGGGGCTGTTTTCCAGTAGTGTCACTTAAATAGACCCCTCTGTCTGGCAATTCTAAATCAAAGCTTAAAAATCTACTGGCACACTGCAGTTGGGACTTTTTTTCCTGCCTTGTGCTATCAGCTTCTACGTTTACTGCTTTTTAAAAAAAATCCAGTTCTTCTGGTGGTGGAAAAAACTTTAAAATTCCATCCAAGAGTAGATCAGATGCTATCGTTTGGAGTTTGCAGGGGAAACAGTCCCAGCTGAAATGGAGAGGTGGAAGTGTTCAGTATGAGGGTCTGAGCTGCAGCTGCTCTTAGGCAGCTGGAAGAGAAGGTCGTATACAGCTAATACTGCTGGAACAGGGTACCTGCCTAGAACTGCAATATGGTTCCTGTGTGGGTGCGTGGGACAGCTCCCCTGGCTAGGTATCCTGTTTGGGTGTTACGTTAAGCCTTGGCTTAGCAGAAACTTTTTTTGTTGGAAAAGGCTGTCATCATCTTGGACAGATTGTTTTCACTGGGACAGGTTGGGGAGGACAACTGAATTGTACAAAGTATTTTTGAAGGGTTTCAGAGACCCTGGTTGGCAGGTTGGCCAAAGCTGGTTTTGCTTCTCTGCTTTTTGTTCTTATGCCGGGTGGACTCCAGTGCGAGAGTAGGGGAATGTTAGCTGGTGTATCATTTATTTTGTGTGAGTTATTTAGCTGCCCTGAGAATAGTGTGTGCTTGGGGCCATTATAAATTCATTGCAGGGCATAGAGAGAGGCTGCGTAGTACTGATGTCTGTGCTTTGTTAATGTCTCTAAACTGATTTACTTTGGGACACTAAGGGATGAATACACAGCCTGTATTGCCTGAATACATCTGAGTAGTATGGAACCAGGGACTTGAGAAAAAGGGAATTTAATTTAGACTTACAGATACTGGTTTTGCCTATGTGTCGACAGTTGTTTGTGTGGCTTTTGTTATAGTGTACCAGTCCAAGATAATCTGTGAGTTTTTTAGAGTAAGGCTGGACTAGTCGCTCGCAGACAGTCCTCAGTATTCAAAGCTTTTACTGTTTAATTGGCATGTCTCTTCAGGAGATCTGGAATAGACTTTCAAATTTGAGTATTTCCCCCATTTCACAGGGGAGGAAGCCAAGTTGTTGATTTATTTGTCTATGGTTCTGTATGTATACCATGGTGCCATAAGACTTGGATTTATCATGGAATAACATCAGTGAATACATATGAAATAGATGTGGGAAGAAATATCCTATAAAGTACATTTGTTGAAGAGAGAATAGAGTGTTGGAAGGTTAGATGTGGTTAGATGAAACAAAGAAGAAAGTAATTTGTTTTTTTCTTTTTGGTATGTGTGCAAAGTGGTATTGGTTATCTGAGTCAAGAGCTAATTTGTCTCCTTGTTTAGGATTTTGGCGATGTAGTACCTGTCATGCTGCTCTTTGGTTCAGAAAAGCTGCAAAAAAGATGGCAGAAAATCAAAGTTGAGCAACAGAATTCACTAAAAGCCTGCATAGTCTGAATTGCTAGGAAAGAGGTTCATAAGAAAAGGCAGAAGTGAATATTTTGGTGAAATTGTGAATGTGACGAGTGATTTGCGAATGTGAACATAAGGCAGAAAAAAGAAATGTTGAGAGGTTATAGCAAGGCTGCATGAGAAGAAATTAAGTGAAGGGAATCCTAATTAGAATATCAGAAAAATGTTTGTAACATGGAAGTCTGAAATAAGTCCCTCAAGAAGGCAAAGGAGCCATTGTGACCTGCTTCGGACATCTACAGCTTGACAGGCCCATGGAAATCACACAGCAGGAAGCTGTCTTGCATCATATCTGCGAGAATGGGAAAGGGCTTGGTGTTCCGTTACTATTAGGACATATTATATGATAATTGGGAAATGGAATAGCAACAGGATGTGATCAGAGATTTGGGATTTACTGCTAGGATGCTAATCTGACGGAGTCTCACTGCCTGCAGCCCTCAGCATCGTTTCTTTTAGCTCTCCTTGATTTCCAGTCTGCTGGCTTGAAATTGTGAGGTTCCCTGATGAAGCTGCTGATTTCAGGCTTTGGTTGGTGCTGCTGCTGCTGTCAACGCTTTTTGGATTCTGCATTGATGTATTTGGCAGGGCAGATGAAAGAGAGATGCAGGTCAGAGCTGGGCAGTAAGTGGGGAAAGGCAGGAACTTGTGCTTTCGGGGACTACTCTGAACTTATAATTGCTTTCTTTCTCTTTCTTTAATGTATTATGTATTAATATATATAATGCTGAGCAGGACAATCTCACGTGATTTGGTGTAAAGGTTATAAATGTTTGCATATCCCAAGAAGTGCTTACAGGTGAAAAGTAGGGACTCTGTAGCCTGTCTTACTGATTCACTTTTCAGAGAGTATTAAATGGTGGTGTTAAAAAAAGAGTCATCTCTGCTTAAGCTTAGATATGCCAGTGAAGTTCTTAGATGGAAGAACTTAATTTTGTGAGTGCCTGACCAGCTTAAGTGAAGAGTGCTGAGGGAGAGCTGCAGTGATTCATCAGCTCTCTTAGGGGATTCCCAGCAGTACCTGAGCAGAGTAACTGCTGCCATTAACTAAGATGAACCTCTCTTTCTCACTCATAATTACAGGAGGGAACCTCTACGATAAGATTCTGCGGCAGAAAGACAAGTTATTTGAAGAAGAGGTAATTTGGGCTGGTTTGAGGGAGCAGTGGGGCTGGCCTAATGTTCTGGGGATCTGTCTGGTTATCTGCGTATTGATACAACATTTTTTCCGTAGCGCTGGTGGGGAGTTTGTGTGTATATCTGGGGACTGGTATCCTTCATCTCCTCTTGAATATTGCAAGCATTTATTGACTATCAGAAAATTTTGTTTTCCTGTTTGGCTGTCTATAAGCAGCATAAACTTCCAAGGGAGGAGTAACAAAGGAGACTGTTCAACTGACTTTGGTCACCTTATCATCTTGGCTAACATTTCACTTTAAAATCTCTTTCTGTGTTTATTCCTGGTTGGTACTCAGTTTCTCTCTCAACCATTTTGTAGCTTGCTTTCCGAGTAATTACCTTGAATCTGTCTCACCATAGGTTTTTTTTGTTCCTTTTTATTTGTTTTTTTTCTTTTTTTTTTTTAATTTTTTTTGCTGTCTGCTTCCAACTCAGCTTGAGGTGATTAAATAAGATAAATAAGTGTAATCATTAATGACTTTTAAGGCCTTCTGGCTCATGGTGAATATTAAATGGTCACAGTTCATATTCCAGAGAGCCCAACTGTAGATCTTTTCCAGGTGGTCCTTAGCTGTTACTCATAAATCTTTTCACTCATTGAATTCTGTAATGCTTCTCAGGACAGACACTGTGAACAGCACTAGAACAATCTACCTCTTGGAATATCTTTTCAGAGATTTCCAAAACAGGAAATTCAAAATTTTCATACTCCTGAAAGAGCATCTGAATGGCACGGTCAGGGTCTCTCGCTGTGCCTCTGTGTGACAGGGATGTGTGGGTTTTTGGGGGGAGTTGTTTTGAGCCTCACATAAAGCTTTTTATTCCTGCCCTTGCAGATGGTGGTTTGGTATCTCTTCCAAATTGCATCAGCTGTGAGCTGCATTCATCGAGCAGGAATTCTGCACAGGTAAGTGTGGCGTGCAGTAAAGCTAAGGTAACCAGTGTGGTTCGTGGATGTGAGTGCAGAACTCCTGGAAATAGCCTTTGCTTCTGTGTTTGAAGCAAGCACTGATCTTTCCTCCAAAGTGTAGCTGGACTGCCTAGATGTTAAGCATCACTTCCATAAAGAATTTTTATTGGGCCAGAAACCATCTTGTGATAAATGCGCAAGAAATTTTGTGTATGCAAATAGAATTGTTGTCTTTGATGCTGCAGCTTTGTGAACAAAGAGTTAATCGGCGTAGGAACGAAGGAAATTGGTGCTTTAGTGACACAGCACAGAAGTGTTTTCGAAAGTGGGTAGGAAGAACAGTTACCACAGGCCAAAGGTGCTTTCTGCCTGTTCCACAATTAATAGCTTCAAACCAACAGGTACATCCTTTTGTAATGCCTGGAGGCTAACGGTGATGAAGACTTTGCATTGGTGCATTGCTGTAATGTAACCTGTGCGAAGATTTGTCCTGCATTTGGCTGAACATCATTTCTTTGGCTTGTTATTTAAGGAAGTAATATAGCTTGTTAGCTGGTAGTGGTAATGTTGACATTGACTCTGAGATCTTAATGAGCAGCTAATTATCTTTTTCTGTTGCCCTTTTCTGTTTGGGAGGGGTAAATCTCATGGCTTATGTGTGCTTCAAGGAGGCCATGATGTTCTGGGGAGTGCCACACACGCAGACAGCTGTTTCCAGCATGGTTGGATCGTGTGCTGCACAACATTCTTCTCCAACTAATGAGCATAGCTGTGTGAGGATGTTTTCTGTGGCATAGCAACCTGATTGCTACTGTTCTGAATCTTTGGTAGTTGGCAAGCTTTGCTGATCAAGGGTTGGTACCCCACTCTCAGCAAAGTAGTGCCAAAGTTTTTGACCTAAAGCAGATGTCATGTCTGTCCAGCTTTGCAGTGACTGCTTACCACCTCTGCTGCCCATCTTCATAGCAGGGTTCACAGTCTAGGAACTTGTGTGGCCACGGATCCTTCCAAATGTTTGCAGTGATTTCCTTCTGCTGCAGACATTGTCAGAGTGACCCAGGACTTTGCGATGCCCCAAGTGGATGAATGCAAAGTGCTGCTTTACTTGATGTTGTCCTGATCTACACTGGGAAGTTGTTGATGGTACGTTAGGAAAAGGGGGTGTTACAAAGTTGTTGGCTGTGGGAAGCATATGACATGGTGGGGGCTTCCTCTCTGTATTTACAGCCTCTTATATTGACCTGTGAAACTAGACATAAATTATTCTGTCTGTGAGAAAGTGTTTTCAATGAGATTTTGAATTCAGCATTTTTGTGGCCATCAGCCTTCTGACCTTCTGGGATAGTACATCGTGTTATAAAGCGTTGTTCTTGAGGCATAAGGTAGAAGGATGTTATGCGTAAGTTCTAGAGTGGCTTCTGTTTCACACCCTCTGTATGTGTGTTTATATTTGCATACATACATATTCATGCATACGTTTGTGGTTTTAGTGAGCTCAGCGACTCCTGGCTTGGGTCTATTTATAAAACCAGGAAAAATAAGACCTGCTCAATGACCTTCATCGGAGAAGAGACTTGGGGGGGGGGGGGGGGGGAAACTATCTTTGATCTGTGGCCTTTACATAGATGTCTGGAGCCTGAGCTTTTAGACTGTGTTGTCGTTTTGTGGGGAAGTGATAAAACATGGATAACTGCAGTTACTGCCCCAGTACTTGGGATCAAATTGCCTTTGGAGAGCTCTGTGCGTGAGAGAGAGAGTGCTGGCAGAGTAGCAAGTACCTCATTTGGGGAGGGAGGTATAGCAGTGTATGGAAAACTGTGAAATCCAGAAATATGTTTGAGTGTCTGCATTTCCTTTTCTCCTTTCAGAGATATAAAGACATTAAATATCTTTCTAACCAAGGCAAACCTGATTAAATTGGGAGACTATGGGTTGGCAAAGAAGCTGAACTCTGAGTACTCTATGGCCGAGACTGTGAGTATCTGCCTTTGTTGTGTGCAAACTGAGGTGTGTTTTTCTTTCATCTCTGCATGCCTTACAGAAGACCAGGGATGCTGTACATTCTTGCTGCTTGTTTTCCTTTCCCTCTTCCCTCAGTTCAGAGGGTTGTCATCAGCGGCGCTGAGTCTAGTTGGAGGCTGGTAACTAGTGGTGTCCCTCAGGGGTCAGTACTGGGCCCAGTCTTGTTTAACTTCTTCATCAACGACCTGGATGAAGAGTTAGAATGTACCCTCAGCAAGTTTGCTGATGACACCAAACTGGGAGGAGTGGTGGATACACCAGCAGGCTGTGCTGCCATTCAGCGTGACCTGGACAGGCTGGAAAGTTGGGCAGAGAGGAACCTGATGAGGTTCAACAAGGGCAGGTGCAGGGTCCTGCACCTGGGGAGGAACAACCCCATGCATCAGTACAGGCTTGGGGCAGACCTGCTGGAGAGCAGCTCTGTGGAGAGGGACCTGGGTGTCCTGGTGGATGACAGGTTAACCATGAGCCAGCAGTGTGCCCTGGCTGCCAAGAAGGCCAATGGCATTCTGAGATGCATCAAGAGGAGTGTGGCCAGTAGGTCGAGGGAGGTTCTCCTTCCCCTCTACACTGCCCTAGTGAGGCC